GTTCAATAAGAAAAACACGATTTTATGGTTTGAAATACATTTTATTATTCAATATAATCTCCCTGAACTTCAATACACTTGTTCCAGTGATCTTCTAATTTATGGACTCCATCTTTAGAGTGAGAATCTGGAAGACTGTCAAAATACACTTCCACGGCTGCTATTACCTCTTCATTCGATGGAAATCGTTTCCCATGCATGAATTTTCTGAGATGTGAGAACAGCCAAAAGTCAGAGGGAGCTAAATCTGGTGAATAGGGAGGATGTTGTAACAATTCATATTTTAATTTACTGATTTTCGCGATGGTTTTTTGAGCTGTGTGAGAGGGTGCACTGTCTTGATGAAAAATGATTTTTTTCTTCTTTAAACCAGGTCTTTTCTCTCGAATTTTTACATACAGCTGGTCCAAAAGGTTACAATAATAATCTGAGTTTATTGCTTTACCAGTTTGGAGGTAATCCACAAATAAAATTCCTTTTGCATTCCAAAAAACTGATGCTAACACCTTCTTGGTCAATTTCTGGACCCTAACTCGCTTCGGAACCGAAGTACCGGGTTCACACCACTCCTTAGCCTCTTGTTTTGATTCAGGATCATGATGATAGACCCAAGTCTCATCCATAGTGATGAAACAATGCGCAGAATCCTTTTTATCCATTTTAAAACGCTTCAAATGTTGCTGAGAAAGTTGCATTCGAATGTGTTTTTGTTCCATAGTTAGCGAATGCGGCACCCATTGTGCATACAGCTTTCTGTAACCCAAAACTTCAGCCAAAATATTGCTCACACTGCCTAACGAGATCCCTAGGGTTTCTACTAAATCTCTCTCAGTTAATCAACGATCTTCCAAAACCATATGCTATAGTTTTGCCACGATTTCTGGTGTTGATGCACTTTTTGGATGTCCTTCACATGAATCGTCTTCATGACTCGTATGACCATGTTTAAATTCAGCAACCCATCTTTCTACTGTTCAAATTGAAGTGGAAGAGTTCTTATACACTTTTAACAATCATTCATGAATTTGTTTTGGTGCTACACCTTCCAATAATAAGAATTTTACCACTGTACAATATTCAATTTTTACCATTGTAAAAAAATACAGTGACACATCAACTTTGAACAGCTACAAATATACAAATGAGTTGACAGATCTACTTGAAACTTGACACGTGTTTATGAAATAGTAGTACTATTTTTAGAGAAATAAAGTGATGATCCTAATAGTGCCATCTCTTATTGAACAACAAAAAACTTCTTGAACAACCTGGTGGTAGATGATTGGATCTGCAGATAAATAGAAATACCATATCATCAAAAAATGTTTCAAGCGACTTTAGTTTTTATTAAATGCATTTAAAATGTGAAAACAAATCAGTTACTGAATTTTGTAACTCTGTTTTTTCAATAAACACCAACTATACCAGAATTTACTGTACAACTATGCCTTATTTACTCTGTTCTCTCTTTAATCCTTATGCATCTGGTCACTCTAGACCAGTGTTTTTCAACCTTCTTGAATACGCGACCCCTTTACAAGTTAAAAAATTCTGGCGACCCCACAGGGCCATATTTAAACTATATCAGTGATTTTAAAAACTACGTATTTAATTTTCTTACTTTAAATATCGATCGAAAAACCAATTGTACTGTAAAATAAACAGGCACAGCCTTCTCACTGAAATTCTACTTTTTTTATTGTAGTGTAGGACCTACAAACACTTGTCTTTTTCTTTCACCCGCGACCCCCCGTGTAAGGCTTTGTGACCCCCCCTTGGGTCGCAACCCACAGGTTGAAAAACACTGCTCTAGACTTACTGTATTTTATGGCATGTAAGATTCAATCTCATTTTATCACAAAATATTTAGGGGAAAAAATCATCCAAGCTCTGGAGAATAATTATTTAATCAAATGTATATCACTGGAATTATTCCTAAGAATTTCAAACATAATATACTAATTCAAATACTGTACTTAAGAAAAAGGGAAACTAAAGTGTGAAGATCACAGAAAACTAAGTCTAGTGCCACACTGAAAATCCTCACGAGGATAATATTCTATAGATTAGAGCCATGGTTCTCAATCTTTTTGAAGTCGGGGAACATTAAACTTTGACATTTTTTTCCACATAACAGTTACAACACATCAGCTTTAAAGCAGGGGGTGGCAAACGTTTTTGAAATTAAGAGCACACTTAGTCTAGTATATGACATCATTGGCATTTGCTGATTACATTCCCAAACAAAAGTTATTGTACAGTGTTGATTTTTCTTTTGCAACAATTTTTAATCATATTTGATTTTTTCGCAGAAAACTTGAAGTGGCTTCATGGAGCACCCATGTTCTGCAAACCACGGATTGAGAACTACAGGATTAGAGAATATCAATCAGAATATTTCAGGATTAATTTGGTTTTAGGAAAAACAAAGGTGCAAGAGAGTTTATTTTAAGTCTACACATGATTGTAGAAAAATCAATAAGAACAGATATGCCAGTATCCATTGCTTTTATTGATATAGAAAAGCATTTGATAGCATAGATTGAACAATAATACTCAACATTCTAAAAGAGTTAACCATAGGAACAGAAAATTAATATTTCCAACCATACAAAGATCAATTAGCATTAATAAGGAAAGGTAAAGAAAAAGCATGAATTTCAAAAGAAGTCAGAGCTGTCGACTATCACCTATTTCATTTAGCATTTATATAGAAGCAGCTATGAAGGAATATAAGAAAACTATGAAAGTATAAAAATAAATGATAAAACATTTAACACAATTCATTTTGCATACAATGTAGCTCTGGTTGTAAACTAAAGAGCTACAGGAGGCATTAGGATAACTTAATGATGCACTAAAGGTCAAATGCAACCTGAAAATAAATCATAAAGACAAAAGTAATTATTCAAGAGGAAATGAAAATCATACTATAAAAATACTGGAGGTGAAAGAATTAGACAGTGATGAATTTCAGAACATCTGATGAATTTTCTTTTTACATCCATAGAAAAGTTGTTTGGGAATGGCCCTGTATACGGACTTTGAGGAAAAAGCAGAGGTCAAAACTTTGAAATGTGATGCTATATAAAAATGTTGAAGGTAACTTGGACTAAAATATTGTCTAATGAGAGGTTTCAGAAGGAGCAGGAGAAACCAGAAACATTAACAGTATAAATACAGTAGAGCATCGATTATCCGACTCAATTGGGGACTCAGGTTGGTCGGATGACTGAAAAAATAGGATAACCGAAAAGAATAAAAAAAATACATTATTAGTATAGTATATTAGTATGCCCGTATAATTAGTATATTAGTATATCGCTATTAACCAACTTTATGTTGAATTTTCATCGATGTTAAGCCTAACAAATTTTTTTTTTTAAATAATCATCGCTATTGTTCATGAAACAAACAGCCACTCATAATTAGAAAATTAAGTCTCGTTTAAATATTGGCTTCCCTTCAATGGTTGAGCCATTGATGCCAGCTAAAACACGCAAAAATTTAACAAAAATAATATTAAAGTATCCAAGACATAGCCAAATATTGTAATGCCACATCACTAGTGGACATTTGAAATTTGCTGACTAGAACGGTCGGTTAACCGATGCGACGGTTAATCGGGGTCGAATAATCGATGCTCTACTGTAAATGAATAGCTGTCAAGACATTCAAAATGGATAAAGTATTATTTTAGAGAATGAAAAAGAGAAAAGCAGTAAGAGGATAACCAAGAATGGAGTACAAGTGAAATATAGTGAAAAGTAGAATATCTTACTGCAAGATTAAGCAACTAACACTAAATAGAAGTGAATGGTGGACTTGATGCTATCTACCAACCCTTGGGTTGAGGATAGCATCAAAAAAATAATGGATTAATTTTGGCACAAGTGGATCAATAAATAATTATTACTGTGTATATACAAAATGTAATTGACAAAATCTTACAATGTGAAAGGTATATTTTAAAAAAAGAATATATTAAGTGCTAAAATTTAACCTTCCTCTCACTTTCCAGAAATTCACTGATTAAAAACAAACATTTTTGTTTCCTAACTTTGAACCTGCTATAGATGTTTGATATAGAATTCTGCTGATGCAGGCCACTGAAAGTAGCCAAAAACATTTGCTTTTTACTTAGTGAATTGCTGGAAAGAGAGAAAGGTGTAAATTTTAGCATTTAGAAGATAGTTCCAGCTTTAGAATTAACAAGCATTCATTAATTTTTCAAAGTAAAACAGTCTCCTAAATAATTTTATAACAGTCCATTTTATTCACAACTGTAACTCTTACATTTTTTAATAGTTAAATTTTGATGATAAAAACTGAAATTGCAGTAAGTTATTTGTTACGAATTGAAATTGACCTGAACTGTTAATAGAAATGTATTATCAGTAATGCATAATTTTATTTTATTATATAATATACAGTGACTTTAGTTTACCAGGTTTTTTTAAAATTTTATTATAAGCATTTGGGGCATGGAACCATTACAAACAAATATATTGGGTTGCGTGAGCAAAAAGTTTGAGAAACACTGTTTTAGAGTAAATAAATAAACACTAAAACAACCTGCACCGTATTGATAAAACATTGAAAAAATGTTTTTAGATTATTAACCAACAATAATATTTATTTAAGCAGTTTCACTCTTCACTCTAATATGAAAGATTTTCAAGTTTTAAATCTTAAAATATTTTTTTAAACTTTTTGATGTTAGTTAATACTTGGTAAAATATTGACACAATGATGTTGCAAATATAGAAGTTGAAACATACAAAATTTTGATTACTGTTGTAAGAGAATTAAATTGAAATATTATTATTTGTATATGTTGTTATAAATATTATTATTATTATATATTGAATTATTTGTCAATTAATTTTATTATTTGCTTAAATTAATATTAACCATTAATCATAATTTTTAAAAATTAATATATAACAATCTTTAAATATTAAAGTTTTTTTTAAAAAAATTGCTGTTAATTTTTACAGTTCTGCTCAAGATAATGTTACTAAACAAAAGGTTGCCATTAAAAAGATTTCTCCATTTGAACATCAAACATATTGTCAAAGAACTCTGAGAGAGATTAAGATTCTAATTAGATTTAAACATGAAAATGTAAGAAAAATACTTATATATTAATTTGTTTTGTATGACTTTTTATACTTAATTTATTTAATAACAATTTTTATAATAAATTATTTAATTATATTATGTAAATTTAATTAAGATCAAGATGAGAAAATGATTTATTGTATAATTAATATATTGTTTATGTTATATTCATGGGATTCTGTTTTAAATTAATGGCTATTCAAAATCTGAATTGGATCAAAAAATCTACCTTGTAAAGAAACTACTTTTATACTAAAATCCAAAATCAAAGCTGGAACAGATAACTTGAAAATTAAATCATTCACACTTTTCCAGCAAAAGAGTTGAATAAATGGACTATACAAATGTTTTCAGGTTATTTTTATAAAAAGATTTATAAAATAAACTGCTATTAAATCACTCAATATACAACCCGGTGTGCGATTGCTGATTTATGGCCTTTTTATTTTATTAACATTGAAATGGAAACCTTTTTTTAAAACATTGTTTTAAATATATAATATCAAATTTTTAATATAATATCAAATAATTTAACATTTAAAAGATTGAGAATGTTTTGAAGTAATTTGTATGTAAATTAAAAATTTTTATTTATTTTTTAATAATAAATAGTATTACTTAGTGAAATTAATTATTTTCAGATAATTGATATCAGAGATATCATAAGTGCTTCAAGTCTGGATCAGATGAAAGATATGTATCCTTGTAAAATCAAAAAATAATGTCTATCATCATATAAGAGATACAATGTTTATACCTATATAGTAAATAAGTTTTTTAATATATTCAAACTAATATTAATAAAAAAATACAAAAATTGGATTTGACAAACGATGAAAAATAACCTTATTTTCATACCAGCAAATAATTGAAATGGGCATTATAGCTAAGTTAGGACAAGCCAAACTATTCAAGCACATCTTCATCTACTGATCAAGCCAGATTTCTTGAAACCCTGGAAATATTCAAGTGGCAAATAGAAGAGAATGTCTCAATTTCAATGATTGTGAGAAGTTATCAACCACCTGGCGATCTTTTTATGATGACCCAAGAATATCTCAGGAAAATGGAGTTTTTAATTAAAGAAAATTTATATTTCTAACAACGAACTAAACCTTTCATTTTAATTTTTACCAAATTGCACATCATTATATAATGTGCATTATTAATTTGTTAATTTTGTAACATTCATGTTAGAACTCTCATATTTTCTACAAATAGAACATATAAATACATCAACCTGATGTAGGTCTATTAATAAATCAAAAACATTTGTATAATATTCATTAAAATTGCATATTTATTGCATATTTTTTCTGCATTCAGCTTGTCAATAGGTGTAAAATGTCCCAAAACTATATTCACAGAAGCATATTTGCAGGTTTGAAAATAAGGTTATTTTTACATCTAATATTAATAAACTAAATTAATATCTATATTAATGAAAATACAAAAGATATTAAATTGCAACTATACAAATACAGTAGAACCTTGATTATCCGGACCTCTATTATTCGGATTTTCGATTATCCGGATTTTTCCTTATCCAGACTACCTTCATTCCCAATTAGTCCGGATAATCGAGGTTCTACTGTATATAAAACTCAAAGTATAAGTCAATAAGTTATACTCAATAGATAGCTAGCTATGCTAATTTGTGTTGATCATATTAATTTATTTTATTGTTTGTATCCTTTGAAGTTGAAGTTTTAAGTATCATTTTATTGCTTTAATATAATAATGATTGTGACATATCCAATGAAATAATAATAAGTTAGCACTAACTTGTAATGTTAATAAAAAAAAAAAATTTTAAGCTATAGTGAGATGAGACAAGAATGCATTCCAAAATTCTCAAAACCATAATTGATTGAATCAATTTTAAAGATCTTGTAATCATCTTATTTAATCTTTAATTAAAAAACATTGTGGATTATATTTAATAAGTGGCGTGCCATCATTGGAAGTGGTGGAAGCGCTGCTTCCTTTGTATTTTCTAAAAAATAAATACATATTAATTTTAATTATTCATATTTTAACGTACTTTGAATTAAAATTAACACATTNTCCGGACTACCTTCATTCCCAATTAGTCCGGATAATCGAGGTTCTACTGTATATAAAACTCAAAGTATAAGTCAATAAGTTATACTCAATAGATAGCTAGCTATGCTAATTTGTGTTGATCATATTAATTTATTTTATTGTTTGTATCCTTTGAAGTTGAAGTTTTAAGTATCATTTTATTGCTTTAATATAATAATGATTGTGACATATCCAATGAAATAATAATAAGTTAGCACTAACTTGTAATGTTAATAAAAAAAAAAAATTTTAAGCTATAGTGAGATGAGACAAGAATGCATTCCAAAATTCTCAAAACCATAATTGATTGAATCAATTTTAAAGATCTTGTAATCATCTTATTTAATCTTTAATTAAAAAACATTGTGGATTATATTTAATAAGTGGCGTGCCATCATTGGAAGTGGTGGAAGCGCTGCTTCCTTTGTATTTTCTAAAAAATAAATACATATTAATTTTAATTATATGAAAATAATCAATATTTTATAACCACATTATATATCTTATTACAAATTTCTATACTACACGTGAAAAAAAAGATAAGATCACTAATGTATATTCGAATATTAGTGGCAGAGTGGAAGTGCCGTATCGTCGGCATTCAAAAAGCCAGATTTGCGCACGCACTTTACGAAGCACCAGTTTCACCCGGTTTAGCCAGTGGAAGCCTAGGACCTCGGGTGGATGCTACTCGTATACCGCATCTGATTCTATCTGGGACCGGTTCTGGGCTGTTAGCCGCCTGCCCGCTAGATATTTGGCTGCCCTCGCCCGATTACGTGAATCGCGAGTAGATTTATAACTTAACCCAACCGATAAGAATTTACTGGTATGTTTTTATGATAGTTCTGTATTGTTGACAGGAGTTAAAAAAAAATCCATTAAAATATTTGATATTTTTATTCCACTTTCCCATTTTATGTTACTTATGGATTTCAATGTTAAACCAGTGATATTATGATTTTGTACTCATTTTTAAGGGGATGTAGAAAAAAACGTGTAGAATTCTAGTACAATGTTAAAAAATTAACTGTTACTTTGGCAGCATCATTTACAACTAAATTTAATGAATGAGAGAGATGCACAAGGTACAGAAAAAGCTCTAGAATTTATTTTCCTTAAATTTACTATTTATGTATTCGTTTGTCATAAAAATTTGTCTTTCCACTTTTTTCCCGAGATTACAAATATTCAAATATTTAAGTACTTATTTCTACTTAAGAAGTAGTTAAATAATTAAGCGATTAGGGAATTGGGACACAAATAAAACCCTGCTGAAAGAGCCAGAATTTTACTTAAACAAAAGCTTAACCGAGTACAGTGTGAACTGATTTCTTCATAATATTAAATGTAATAAAGACAGAAATTTTTCCAGTTCAATGAAAGTGACTAAAAGTTGTAAATTTTGGAAATTTCTGTGGACACCTGGTCTTAAAACGAATTAGTTAGAAAACAAATGACTATTAAATCTAACAAATTTAGATTTTTACAGCTATGGTGAGAAACGTTTAAAATCAACAACCCTGTCGCATCCTTTGAGATATACTAGTGATGCGACAAAAGAGGCATTTGACATTAACTGGTATCGGCACCCTGGGAATTTGGCACACATGCATACACTGCACACCTACCAAGACCGTCTCTGATTCCATCCACGAGCCACTGATAGGGAGCCATTTTAATTTTAGCCCTTATATTATGGCTAGTGATTTAGAATATAATTGTGATATTGAAAATTTATTTTAAAAAAGTTTTGGCTTGAGACCATATGATGAAAAAGAAAACATTATTAAAAGAGAGAGACCAGTGCCTAAATTAAATATAAATACGTCAACAAAAAAGTTTGTTTGACATTTTTACAATAAAATTTATGAAGACGTAAAATGGCTTTGTGGGTGCATAGAAATGCAAAAATTGTTTTGTTGACCTTGCCTATTATTTTCAAATGAAATTAGTGTGTGGAATAAGAATGGCTTTGATAATTTAAATAATTTGAGTAAAGCTGGCAAAAGATACGAAAATCGTAAATCTCGTATCGATTCTTTCGTAAAATTGAAGCAATTTGGAAATCAAAGTGGAATGGAATTTAACATTAGTAAACAATACAAAATAAATATTGAAAATTATAACAAAGTTATGGCTAATAGATATATTATATTTAAATTAGTACGTATTATCGAAGCAAGAATTGACATTTAGAGGGCATAGGGAATCTATTGAATCTAATATAACAGAGGTAATTATATTGAACTTGCTTATTTATTAAGTGCGTTAGATAATCTATAAATTAAAAATACATTTAGNGTATGTATTACATATGCCATTCCATCGCCATGACAATGCACATGCATAACTGCATTCTTTTAAAATCCGTTTGTGCTGTTCCATTTTTCAAAATTAATTTCATAATCATTGTTCTATGCTTGCACAGGTTCGAATCTAACTGGTTTTTAAACCTGATGAAGACTGAAAGTACGGTCGAAAACGTTTTTTTATTATTAAATTGATTACTACTGGACGTTTAAAGGTTTTGGAGTTTTAAAATATAATTATATTTTATCCATCCCTGTCTGTATTACAAACATTTTAAATATGGGTCATGTTGACCCTACACAAGTGCAAATGTTCAGAAGGTTAATGTGATTAACACATTAATCACAATCTTTGAAAAAATTCAGGTTGCATGGGCCATTTTCGTTTTTTCTATACATTTATGTTCTTTTCATATCAGAAAATCTGAATTTGCTCTTTGAATTTTTTTTTTACTTTCAAAACTAGCATAAATATTTTTGTTTGAGGTATAATATATATCCTTCAAGACAGTCAAATGAATTTACATGTACTGGTCATTGGTTGCATATACTATGCCTTACTTGCATGTTGGTACAAGTTTGTTTTGCATTATGTTTTAACTACAGTACATTTACAGAGATGCTCTGTGAGGTACTACTGGTGATCCATGGAGCATATTGTGTAATCAGACATCATGTCACAAACCTTGTATCTTGAAGCATCAGAAAATTTTTAGTGAGTCACACAAGTGGTAACTCATGGCAATTGCATGTTAAAAATTGTTCATACAGGGTATAAAAAGATGTTTCGTTATAAATTATATATTTTTTAATTTTGCTAAAATTTTATAATTATTTTTAATTAATATGACAGTTTATTTCAAGTTAAGAAGGAAGATAAACCTATTATGTAGTGTTATGTACAGTACATGGGGGACCCAAAAATAACCAGATTTTTTGTATAAAAACTTTATATATTAACTTTTTTATAAAATTCCTTCAGTAACCTTCAAAGTACTTTCCATTAGATGTGGTACACTTGTCAAGTCTTTTTCCCCACTGTTTGAAGCATCTCTGGAATTCTTCAACCTTGATACCATTCAGTGCCCTTAGCGAAGCTGTTTTTATCACCTCCACATCATCAAAATGCTTCCCTTTTAGATTTTTCTTCATTCTCAGAAACAGAAAAAAGTCGCACGGGGCTAGGTCTGGTGAATACGGAGGGTGGGGAATGACAGGGCATCCCCGAGAGGCCAAATAGTGAATCACTCGTAATGTCGTGTGTGCAGGGGCATTGTTGTGATGAAGGAACCAGTCACCTGATCGCCAAAGTTCCGGACATTTCCTTCGCACATCCTCTCGCAGATGTCTTAACACTTTTTTTGGCAGATATTTTCAATGTTATTGAATGTTATTGAAGATATTGAACTTTTACTTTTGTGAGCCCGGATTTATGGAATCCTAAAACTTTTGCTGCTTTTTCTGATAAGTCTCGTTTCGAGATGTTGAAGGATGCTCAGAACTTCGGAGGTGGAACAAAATTACAGTAAGAGAAACACAACACTATGCTCAAATGTAAACCTACAAACTGATGGCATTTGCACAGCTGTTTCGTGAAGGTCTCTACTTATCCCATGTAACAGGAGAACTCTTTACTACATTTACGAATGGCAGCGCGCTCTCAGTTCAGCTTTTTTGGGTTCCCCCTTGTACACATAAACATCAAAAATCCAGCAAATAATGATTATATTTAAACAAAACAAATGCTTTTGTTTTCTTTCATTTTAAATGGTCATATTTAGGTTAGAAGAAACATAAATAGAAATGAATGTGTATTCTAAAAATAGAACACCATAGAAATTTAAAAAATGGACTTATCGTGAAATGTGTGCATGCATTTAAATTTGTTGATGTTCTAGTTTTAGAATACACATTCATTTCTATTTGCATTCCTTCTAACGTGGAGATGACTGATTAAAATGGAAGAAAACATTTGTTTTATTTAAATATACTTATTATTTGCTGTGTTGTTTTTTGTGTTCAGATGTATTTATTACTAAATAGTAATGTTGTAGAGACTGTATTTCAACTTTGATTAGAATAGAAAAATTTTTTGAATTATACCAATACATTATAATTATTTTAGCTTTGCATCTGTATCTTCAATTTAGTGGATGAATGAATTATTTCTATTGTGTGAAAAGTTTTGTTTGAAATTAAATTTCTAAAGCTTTTAAATATCAAGTATACAGAATACCAAAAATTTTATTCAGTTGAATAATAAAAAGCCTATTATGAGTTTATCTACAAAATATCCTGTAAGTTTAAATGAAACTTTACAACTAGTTAATAAAATAAAAACAAAACAAAATAAAACTTCAAACATGAAAACTTCTAAGCTGTAAACTTTAAAATCGTAATGATTATGACTTATAGCTTAATCAGTTAGTCTTAAATTACACTGTATATTTCAAATCTTGATTTTCCACCCTTATTTTTTCAAAGCTTTAACAATATCTGTTTCTTTTTACCAGTTATAACTTTTTAAAAATTTTTTAATGTTTGAATATATTGATTGAAGATAGCAGTATGCAATGATTATTTTCAAATACATAAAATATTATTGCATCTATTTAATGTGTTAACTGCCACATTAAAAAAAATTGTGATTCCTGGATTATTCTCTCTTTTTTTTTATAGATTTATGTTTTTTTTTTTTTTCATATCAGAAAATCTGAATTTGCTCTTTGAATTTTTTTTTTACTTTCAAAACTAGCATAAATATTTTTGTTTGAGGTATAATATATATCCTTCAAGACAGTCAAATGAATTTACATGTACTGGTCATTGGTTGCATATACTATGCCTTACTTGCATGTTGGTACAAGTTTGTTTTGCATTATGTTTTAACTACAGTACATTTACAGAGATGCTCTGTGAGGTACTACTGGTGATCCATGGAGCATATTGTGTAATCAGACATCATGTCACAAACCTTGTATCTTGAAGCATCAGAAAATTTTTAGTGAGTCACACAAGTGGTAACTCATGGCAATTGCATGTTAAAAATTGTTCATACAGGGTATAAAAAGATGTTTCGTTATAAATTATATATTTTTTAATTTTGCTAAAATTTTATAATTATTTTTAATTAATAATAACAATAGATTATTACACTTAATAATAAAAATAGTTGTTGTTTTCAACAGTATAAGATTAAGGAAGTATTTTTAATTTTTACATTTTATAAATATATGTTTAGTTATGTATAATAATTAACTACTAGTATATATTATTAAACAATATAAATGTTAAAGTTTGAGTTATCATTTTAAACTTAATGACTATTCAGATATATTGTTCAAACTTTGATGGAAACAGATCTTTATAAATTATTAAAATCTCAAAAGCTGAGTAATGATCATATTTGTTATTTCACATATCAGATATTGCGAGGACTTCTTTATATACATTCTGCCAATGTTCTCCATCGAGATTTGAAACCAAGTAATATTTTACTTAATACCTGTTGTGATTTAAAGGTAAAATATATTATCAATTACTTTTACTTTATTATTAATAGTTTTAGTTCATAAAATATGATAAAATTATCAATTTTGATTAACATTTCCAAAATTTACTAATATTCAAGTCTCAACAGAAAATACATTCATATTTGGCATCATATTAAATAAATAAATGAATGCTATTTTTATTATTAATGCTATTTTTTTTTGTGTGTAATTTATTTAATTTAATGTTTGAAAGTAATGATATTCTGAAAATGTATTTGTTCCATTGCAGTTTGAAAAAACATTTTTGATTAAAAACAATTTGGTTAATTCCTGAAAATTGCATTTATTTATTTAATATGGTGCCAAGTATGGATGTATTTTCTGTTGATACACATGCCAGAATGCTAAGCAAAGTGATGATTAAGTGTACAGTCAAATTAAGAGCACCTGGAGTTTACTACATCCCACTACAGAATGATAGGTTCAATAGGACATTAACATAGAAAGAATAACTCTTTAAGCTCTGAAAATTTAATGTGTTATCTTTGAGTGATTTCCAAGCCATGGACATAGTTTCAGTATCTTTGCTGTTTATGCAATTTAATCACCATGATATTACTGGTATACAATCAAATAAACTATTCAATTACCAACAAACCAGCAAGTAATTTGCTTTAACTAATTGTTAAACAAACGTTTTCATCCATTTTCAACAGTCATCCTCAGGTTTCAACGTAATGGAATGCTTGTTAAAAGAAAGCAAATTCCAAAAAAGTTGTATGTCATGAAAATACACGCATGCTCAATGTTGTGTTTAACAAATTAGACTTCTAACCGGCTTTCAGATTTAAAAATACTAAGTTTATATAGAAACCAAACTTGACCAAGAACTATTGTACGTCAAAGCACACCCTCCACGCAGCTGCCAATGAGTCCATTTCTTTAAAATTAATTGCTGTTCCCTCCTAAAGGCTTTAAATATCTCCAGTTGTTCAAGATATTTCAGGTTGGCAGGGTTATTGCAATGTTGCAGTAATCAGATATTGTCAAACTCAACTTGGGCATCGTTATCCACAGTGAACAAAGCCAATGCGGTAGTGGATAGACCTTTCTGAATGGTGTATTTATGCTAATTTTTAGATCACATGCAGTTGCACCAATATATTCACCAGGATAGTTCATCCTATAATAGTTAATAGGGATAGTAGAGAGAAATTGCATAGCTTATGCAATTTCTCTCTACTGTAATCTTAAAAATTTCCCAAAGTTCTACTGTAGTGATCTGAGTTTTTGTACATTAAAACTTGTTTTAATTAATTTTGCTTCCTCCTAGTTGATAGATACCCTGGGCTTATTTGCATATTGATCCTAGTACAGTAGATAATTTGTTTTTGTAAACATCATGCTTATGCTTGATGATCTCGAGACTAAGCTCTATTGGTAGACCCTATGTAAGTGAGGGTTCTATCAAACCTACTGCCATATATTCCTGGCACTCTGTCAGTGTTTGATTGATCTTTAGTGTTTAATAACAATCTAAATACTGTAGGATTGCATTTAAATATTAATCTAGTTTTAATTTATCTTGTTATCTGTCTGTGCATAGATAGTGGAGAAGAAATCTACAGCGACTTGCTTTTGTTCATGCATATGCCCATGCATTACTTTTATCTCTATTAGATATTTATTCCTATGTATAGTACTCAGGATGTTATTTATGAGACTCTGAATAAGTTTTTTGCTATAACCATGTGCATGGGCTATTTCATTAATTTATTTCAATTTTTATCAATAATATTTGTATGAACACTTTTAACTAAAGATCCTGCTAACTAAACACTGCCACTTTGTAGGGATATAGACCATTGGATACTACTAGAATAAAGAGTAGATAGTAAGTTGGTTTACAGAACACTACTGTTTCCTCTCTGTTACCTATCAGTCTAATGTTTATATCTAGAAAATGGGCTTCCTTTTCACTGATCTTGTTCAACTTTAATGATGGCCCATACAGGTTGCAATTGAATTTTTGTATAATGCTGCTGATGTTAGGCTTAGATATCCATAATATTAGTACTGATTATTTATACTGAAAATTTATTATTTACAGATATGTGATTTTGGGCTTGCTCGTATAGCTGATCCTGATCATGATCATACTGGATTTCTTACAGAATATGTGGCCACAAGATGGTATCGTGCACCTGAAATTATGTTAAATAGCAAAGGTTATACAAAATCAAGTATCCTTTTGATATAATATTTTGTGAATATTATGATTTTGTTAAATTTTAAATAATTATTTTAAATTATTGTGATTAGCTTTATTATATCCTTAATGCGTGCATTTGATATTTGGTCAGTTGGCTGCATTTTAGCAGAAATGATCTCTAATAGGCCAATATTTCCAGGAAAACACTGTAAGTAATAAGTTTTTATAATTTCTGTATTTTTATGTAATTTTTATATATATGTATAAGATATGATTCACATTAAAGTTACTCAATTCAACATCTTTTGTAGAGAGAACCAATGGGTAAAACTTCATTAAAATTTGGTTTATACAATGTTTCAAGCCATGGGAAGAACTTTGTGGGGAGGGAAAAAAATAGTCCCAAAAGTACTGCTAGGGTTGCTATGTGGAGTCTACATTACTTAGATTTACAAAAACATTCATAGCTAGTCATAATTAGCTTATTCAGGCATATACAGTGGTACCTCGGTATACGTCTGCTTTAGAATACGTTCAATTCAGAATACGTCCTGTTTGGACGAAACAAATTTTGCTCGGTATACGACATAATTCAATTATACGCACAAATCTATGAACAAGTAGCACTATCGGTGTATTAGACCAGACTAGACGTTTGTGGTGCAATGGTTTATAACTTTGTTAAACTTCTTCTGATTTTAATTTGTAAGTAAAATTTTATTATTTTTATTAATCATGAATTGCAAAAAGGCAAATGAAAAGCAACAGAAAACTAAAAAAATTACTAGAATCACAATGGAACTGAAAAAAGAAGACTGTTGAGAAATATGAATGTGGCACGCGTGTTCGAGATTTTAACTGTTGCATATCGTATTCCAAGAACGACGATATCGACAATCGCGAAAAATAAAGACATTATTAAATCTGCTAACGTTACGAAAGGGGTTTAATCAATTTCTAAACAGAGATTGAAGACATTAAACCATGTTAAGAAATTGCTTTTGCTTTGGATAACTGAAGAATAGTGTGCTAGAGACAGCATATCAGAAGCAATTATTTGTGAGAAAGCTAAAAAGATACATGCTGATCTCATGAAAAATCAAGCAGGAAAGCGAGGTGTTTAAAGCCAGCCATTTTTTTCATGAGAACGGATTAATCAGTTTTACATTACTTCTTATGGGAAAGGTTGGTTTGGTATACGTCCAATTCAGTATAAGTCCAAACATCAGGAACAGATTAAGGTCGTATACCGAGGTTCCACTGTATATGTTTAACAGGCCTTAAAGTCACTTGCTTTTTTTTACAGCACCTTATTTTTCTCTTGCTTTTTTGCCATTTAAGATATTTTTTTTGCATTTACACGTAATGAAACTAAGGTAACTGTACACTATTTCCCACCAATTGTGAATTTTTTTACTATTACATACCAGTAATTAAGTACAAATTTTTTTGCAGTTGACAATGGAAGAAGAAAAAAGACCACTGAATTTTGTCATGCGCACCAGTGGATGACCATTTGCAACTGCCATTACCATGCATGCACACCACCTGGTGTACAATCATGACACAAATCTTCTCTGCACATTACTATTGTGCGCTGATAGGTTCATCCCTTAAGAGTACCTAACCTAATTTAACCTCCTCTAGTTTCTTGTTTTCTTTTTTTATTTTGTTACAGAGCTGTGGCAGATTGTAGCAACCTGTTGAGAAACATTTGCATGCCAGAAGGCTTGCTTGACTGCACAGTAATTGTGGTCATGAAACTATTGTCAGCTAGCATGCATAGAGACAAATCTGCAGGCATTTTCTCTTCTTCCATTCATTGATTGCAAAAAAAAGTATACTCAAGTCAAACCTATCAATACATAATGTTTAAAAATCTTAATTCGATAATTTATTCTTACAATAATAGACTGTCTGTGCAACATACCCATACTGTTTGTATTAATCCCGATGAACAATGCAAATGAATGTTAATGCATGCGCGTATAAAAATCCTAAAATTGTTTGCCCATATTCATAGTCGCCTGCAGACTATATTTTACCAAAAAAAGTAGCCCCTAAGGGATAAAAGTTTGGTCACATCTGCTCTAGAGCCTTTGTAAACTCTCTCACAAAAATTCCAGCTTATGGTAGCAGATTTAATTTTAATTTTGCTGCCAGATTAATACACAGCTAATTTACCATCTAGAAGGCCAGCCATAAAAAAACTGCGTGCAATCTAACAGTGACTAGTTAGATTGCCAGTATATATAGATTTGTGTTATCTGCATTTAAGCATTAAATCTGTAACTTCCTTATGTATACTCCTGTAAATTAACTTTAGTTATAGAATAAACCTTTATTTTGTTATTTGTTAAACCTGTCTCCTGTCTCTCCGAGGAAACCTGTCGACTTACCAATGCACTCCCCATTCGTTTTGCCCTCCTAGCCATCCGAACGACTCCTAGATCGGGCTTCACCAGCCTGTGCAGATTAAGTGGTCAGTACGAGATTAACCCGACCCACTGCTTATCTCACATCAGCTTTAACATTATCTCATTACATTTTAGCTATTTCTTGCTTTCCATGTGTTTCTATCTTCTGGATCACTTTTCATTTTTTGCATTTTAAATTTGAGTCTTTTTGCATTTTGAGTCTGTCATCTTCAGAATTCTTTGCACATGTCATCATAAGCATCTTGAGATTTGGCCAAGATTTTATCTATGTTGGGATTGGTGTTTTCTTCCCTTACCTTGGAGAAGTTCAGGTCTTCATTATAGATTTCATTTTCTAACTTCATGAGGTTAGATAGTCTGCTGTAGACATATCTTTTGGATGATTGAATTGCTTTTCAGAGACTTACAGAATATACTTTGGGATAAGTGCTTCTAATCCATATGGTAGTTTAATTTGATATATCAACAAATATTATAATGTGTTCTTTTTTCATTCAAATAGAAAGTTCCATTTCTCCTTAGCTATGGTTAGGATTAATCTGACCTTTCTATATTTTTTGGCCAGTTACTCCATATTTCAAATTGAAGAAAGACCAAGAAATAGGGTTGTAATATCGAAATCAACCAAGATTACATCATTCCTTTATCATGAACTTAATAGCTTTAACATATTGTTGCTCTAGTTTTTTGTATCAGTTCATTATTTATGAGAGATGATGATAGTTTCATCCTTTTTCTATGAATTTCACAGCTATTCACAGATGCGCAAGCATCCTGCATGGCAGTCATATGAAAATTTAAATGCTCGTAACTTTTGCAAAGTGCATCTTTCAGAAAAAATGTTTCAAGTAAAAGTCTGTTTTTTTATGTAGAATCATAATATGCAATAAAAAATGAGGGTTTCCACTTAAGTAAATGAAGTTGGTCTCACTTTCACCAATTATAGGATTCACTATGATGAAACTGATAGTGTTTTTGTGGTCCCTTGAAGTCTAACATGCTTGATTTAATGAATTTTTTGTAGGCTGCATATGTTTTGAGTTGAATTGATTAAAATGAACCATCCTGTATGAAATTTTACAGTATTATATATTCAATACTTTAAGTAATATAAATGTTAATTTTAAAATTATGTTATCATTAGTAATTTTTTATATATTTCTTTTAGACTTAGACCAATTGAATAGAATATTAGCTATTCTTGGATCTCCTACTTCTGAAGATCTTCAATGTATCATAAATGAAAAAGTAAGTTATACATTTAAATTAAGAGTTTAAGATATTCCAAAATGACTCTTATATTGTAAGATTAGATGTTATATGTACAATAAATAACTGAATATAATAGAATAAGGTCTTTTAGTCTTTTCAATCTATGATATTTAATAATAATAATTAAAATTTAAAAGGATTCCAGCCTATTTCAGCAAAAATTTTNTACAATATAGAATAAAGTGTTTTTGTTGAAAATGATAATTTAAAAAAAAGTAAATTTGACTTTTTGTATGAATTTCTGCAATGTGTCTTTATTCTTTATATCATCGTTATGGAACAATATTTCTTGCAAAATATTTATATATATAACACTGCACAAAGAATATTTCAAGTCTGTTTTTGCTTATTAAAGATCTATGTTATGTAAATTGATTTGTTAAAAATAGCTAGTTGATAGAAATAAATAAGAGAAAATTTATTCGTAGAACCAATCAAAATGTAATAAATTAGTATCTACATGCATTAATTCAGAGGTTCCCAAAGTGTGCACCCTAGGGAGCCTTGACTTCCTCACAGGGGTGCCAAGAAATATAAAATTTTTATAATTTTACTTCTATTTTCAATTCAATATGATAAGATGTAACATCTAGCAGATCTGAGGCCGTATTCTGGTCACTGTCTCTGGTCTCTCATCTCTCGCAAGCCGGTCGCTGATTGGCTAATCCAAATGATTAGCCAATCATTTGGATTAGCCAATCAGCTTGCGAGAAACAAGCTTGCGAGAAACGAGACCGGCTTGCAAGAAACGAGAGACCAGAGACAGTGACCAGAATATGGCCTCTGGTACAGACCATTAACTCACTTAATGATAACTGTTTGCAAAAGCATCTACAAATGTTTACCAGATGGCACTCTACAATAATTTTCTTAATTGTTTTAGTAGTTTGTCAAACTTTCTCAATACTTTCTCAATAAATAGCTGTTGGTTTCACACAATTTCAGTGTTTAATTAGTTTTTGGAGATTGTACCAAATCATGTGACTACTTTACTAGAAATTTAAGAGAGTTAAATCAATAAAAACAGTTTTTATAATCAAGAATCAATACAAAGTAATGCTTTGCTAGCATCTTACAAGGTGGCACATATAATCACAAAAGGTAAGAAGCCTCATACCATCTCACAAAAACTCATTCTACCAGCTGCTGTAGATATGATGAACATTATGATTGGTGAGTCTGCTGGGAAGCAACTTTCAAAAGTGCCTTTGTCCAATAACACCATCACTTGCAGAATACAGCACATAGTGGATGACCTCAATGATTAGTTAATTGAAAAATTAAAATGGAAGGAATTTGGGTTGCAACTGGATGAAGCCGTGGATAATAATAATGATGATGCTCACTTGATTTGCTATTTACAGTTTATAGATAGTAATAACATTGTAAAAGATCTTCTCTTTTGTAAAAATATCACTGCTGGTACTAAGGCTCAAGACTTGTTTGAGATCTTTGATACTTTTATACCTGAAAATAATTAAGAGTGGACCAAATGCATTTATATCTGTACTGATAGTGCTCATTCTATGTTTGGCTGTTATGAAAGATTACAAGAACTTATACAAAGAAAGCCCCCATTGCACTGTGGACCCATTGCTTTATTCACAGGGAAGCAAAATATCTGAGTTTTACATTAAACCAGGCTTTAGAATATGTAGTGAATATAGTAAACTTTATAAAAACTTGGCTGTTGAAGGCAAGATTTTTCAAAAAACTATATGAGGATATGGAATCAGAGCACATGTCTTTGTTGTACTACAGCACTTTGTGATGGCTCTCTCGTAGTAATATTTTGTCTTAAACATTTGAACTGTGACAGGAAATTTATATTTTTCTTAAATTTGAAGACCCAAGTATTTCATCAAAAGTGCTTGTGTTTGAATTTCTAATTTTTAACTATAGTTTATATCAGGTCAGTCCATAAGTTCATGCGTATTTTATGACCTTGAGAAAAATCGTGTTTTGCTGTTAAAATTGTCAGTCTAATGTGATACTTTTTACACTGAAGTGTTAAATTGGATCTCATTCATATAATACTGTTCAGAATTGGGAACATTTCAGTTGTTTATTTTCTTTAAAATGGAAGTAACAGATGAATATAAGAGACATGTTTTATACTTTTTATTTTTAAGTCATGAGAATGCTACAAATGCAGCCAAAAAATTAAATACTGTTCATAATCAAACTGTAATTAGTGTAAGGACTGCGCAGAAGTGGTTTGAAAGATTTAGAAATAATGATTTTAG